GTATAGTATTTTCAATTGTGTGTTGGGCCCTTATTCAGTTCCTAAAACACTGCTGCAAAATGTTTGGGCATTCTGGCCCCACAAACATGAATCTGAAGGAGAAGATTAGCTTGAGTGAAAAACAAAGTGAAAAAGGAAAAATGGAAGTTTATCAGAAAGGTGGAAAATTCACCCTGCACAAAGCTCATGCCAGCTTTGGAGTCATGACCGGAAGTGGACTAGGAACATTTTGATTCAGCTAAGTTATAATGGGGGCAGGATTCAAGTAAAAGGCAAAACCATCACTGCATGCTCAAAGATAAAGAAATTAAGGGGTCACCTCTAGTTTGAGCATGCTTAAAGCAAGCTTACTGTCTTCACTTTGATCAGCAATTTTTAACCAGTGTGCCACAGGAATTTTTAAAACATGCAATACCTGATTGTTCAGTCAGGGGCACTGACCTCTTCTCCCTTAGATTTTTCAAATGAAAAAAGGTCAACAGCCAACACACCAAAGTCATTCAATGTGAATAAATCAAAATTATACCTTTTTCTCTCTTTTTTTTGTCAGATCATCAAATATATATATTGTATGTGTGCCACAGAATTTTAGTAATTAGTTTATATGTGCCATAAGATGAAAATATCGAAAATCACTGACATAGATTATATACTTATTTGGAATAGACTTGAGGGCTTGAGAGATGAAGGAGGGAGACCTCTTTTCCCCACTTCCCAAAATAACTTACCCTTTGGAGGAACCACTAAAATCAGGGAGATCATACAGTAGAGTACCACAGAGGACAAGCAGATAACTTGGTACTTGTTAAAGTATTAGATGTGGAAGCTCTACAGGGTGCAGATTTTGAGAGCAGGGACTTGGGATTCAACCAGCAACTTAGTTACTGCGAGTCCTAGTCGAAGATCTCTGCCACATTATTGGACACAGCATGAATTGGCCCAGGGCTACTTCTGAGTTGGGGCAGGGAGCACAGTGTACCTGGGGAGATGGATGCAGGTGGCGCAGGCTTAAACTAGAAAGCTATATTATGTGTTCAGGAATGAGGAAATGAAGATAGACCAATGCGGTGGGATTTATGGCAATGAAAATGAAGAAAAGACATGAGACATTTCAAAGAAAGACCATTCAAGGCCTGGTGATTGGATACCAAAAGCAAAGAAAGAAATCAAAGCTGATGTCACATTTTTTAAAGCCAAAGACAATGGCAAGAAATAATTAATGGTGTCACTGACAAAAGACAAGATAAATAAGAGAGGTAGCTGGTTTGTAAGAGAAGAGCTGATTTTGGGCAAGTTGAAATTAAGTCAAGAAGTCCAAGCTCAGGAAAGAGCTGGGTGAGAGGACACAATTGCACATACAGATTGGAGCTTGTGATGTGGCTGTAATCACTTATAATTTATAAGTTTATATCTTGACCATCTCTGCCCAAAAAATGGTGCAATTTAGTGATTGTTTTTTAAAGCTCATGAATAGAAGCAACACTATGACCACTTAAAAAGAACATTTGGAAGTAACTTTTTCAAACTATTTATTCAAATAAATAGATCAAATGACACAAAAGTAGACATCTGCAATAATTTGGGAAGAAACAGAAATTCTGTTTAAGAAATCAAGTGATTGTTTCTAATGAAAACATACTGGGTTTTCACATGTTACGTACCCATTGCTTTCTTGGAATTTTTCAGGAATCTACAGATGTATATTATTTAGTCTTAAGTATGAAAAAATCTGACTGTCAAGCCCAATCTAGGAAACGCTGGGATGACTGCGAGCCAAATATTTCTAGATATCTATCAGATATAGTAAGTAAACATGGTACCATTCTCCTCTTTTTATTATTCTTGACTTCTGTCTACTCCGTTTTCCCAGGGTAGCTGTATGCCACAGCAAAAGAGGAAGACCAGTTTCTGTCTTTTGACTCATAAAGAGTATGTCCACCTTGAGTAATACTCTCTTGAAAGCCATACCTAGGAACCCAGTTTGAGATACATCAGTGTGGCTTGTTATAGCATGACCAGCTATAACCTTGTGCAAATCACCTAATGTCGCTAGGTTTCTGTCTCTTTGGCTGTAAAATAAGACCAGGAGGTTGGAGAAGATAAACTGTAAGATCCTATCTGGCTCTGACAGTCTTTGGTGTAGAACTTATGAACTTGTACTTGTGTCCTATGGAGACTGGTCCCAGGAGCAAGAGTGACCAAAGGGGATTAATTGCAATTTTCATGAGGAATGGGATCCTGTGCTGCTTTGTACATGGGTAATCAGGTCCCAGGCTGTCTGACACAGGAGAAGAACACAAAGATAAAAAGCACAGATCTAAGATTTCAGTTCCAGAAAATAAGACACTTACAAGACCTAAAAATTATAGCATTTTTTTGGTCTTGAAAATGTTTGAGATATGGCCATGACCTGTTTAAACAGTTTATATGTGGTTCTCATGAGGGTTTTGGGTGCCTATGACATCTAACTCACAGAAACAGATTAAGAAAATACAGGTTTGAAAGAGGATTTGTTGAGAAATCACAAATAAATTTTAAAGGACAATAAGGGATGTTGCATCACTTTTTTGTCTTCATATTCAACCTAAATAAAGCAGTACAGAATGATAAACTCTTTGTTACAGGTGATTGGACAGTGTAAGGTAAGAGCTACAATATGTTTGTGTGAATTTCAGGATCTTAGAGTGAATGACTTCAACTGCACCACAAGCTGTGGTATAAAAATATGTTAAAATGCTACTTAATTCTAGATTGATATAGAATTCTATCATACAATGGTTTTAACATATACCACTATGATGTACATGTCAAAAATGGTCTCTACCTATGCCCATGGAGTTGATTATTACTCAGTATCCTGAAAAGAGTTGCAATAGGGCTTCATTGATACACTTCTCATAAAATTAAATATATAAAAAATAGAAAGCTACATAAGGCAGTAGAACATTATTATAGAGAACATGGGCTCTGTCTGGCTTCAGATTAGCTTGAATTTGAATCCAATCTCATAATTTACTAGTTGCATGGTTTTGAGGGAAAGTTACTTAATCTCTTTAGGGATTTCTCCTGTGTAAAACAAAGCTAATAATAGTATTAGCTCATTGGGTCTTTGTTAGAATTAAATAAGATGCTCTATGAAGTACACATCCAAAGTACTTAGCATTATGTGGACTTCAACATCTAAAACTTATGTATTAATACTACAGTTTACACAGCAGTCTCATTTAATATCATAAGACTATAATATTATGAGATTTAAAGTTAAAAGAGGTTCAAAGAGATTACATTACTTGGCCTCATAAAATAGCCAAAATGTGGTGAATCTTAACCTACCCCTCAGTAGAGTTTTCTAATTTATAAAATACTTTCACAAATATTGTCTCAGTGATTGAAAATAATACCTAGAAAACATGGAGTTGAATGTTCCCAATTCATGTCCATTTAATGTATTTATAATACAGTTGCTGCAGTTGAATAATGGGGTAAGAAAGAATCCCTTCTCTAGGGAGCTTACATTGTACTAGAGATTTAGACAAGATACCATTTATTGCTCCTTTTCTAGATTTATTTTATTACACAATAGCTAAAAAGTGTTTGTTATAGTCAGGAAACGGCCTGGGATTAGAAGTCAGAACAACCTCCTCCAAAGTCACATGCTTTCTTGTTTATTAGGCCACCTGTATACACTGGCAAGTCCTGTTTCTGAATCTTCACTTGAAATACCCACCCTGATCAGCTCTGTGCTCCTTTTCAAATCCTCCTGGACCCTGCACACCAGTCATCTCCTCCCTCTCCCACCCTCAGCTTCTCCATCTTTGTGGATCTCTCTTTCTTTCATGTCTAAGAACTTACCCAAGTCTTTTTCATCTTTAGTTTCATTTCCTACATCTCCCACCACCGACTGACCCTGCCTCACACAAACTAGAATCTACCTTCTGCCATCTACACACAACTGAAACTGCTTCAGTAAGTCTTAACCAAATAGCCTTAATATTAGATATAATTTATATGAACTAAATATCAGGCTTTGCACATATATTATCTCATTACTCCTCAGAAAACTGCATAAGATATTATGATATTTCACTTTTCCAGATGAGAACATGGAGGTTCAGAAAGGCTATATGACCCGATTTGCTCAGGATCACATAAAGGTTAAGTAGCAGAGCTGGATGGGAATCAAGGTTGGGCTTGCTGCCAAGCTCATGTTCCTGTCACTCTGCTACAAGGCCATCACTCATTCCCCATGGATCCCTCTTTTCCAGGGGTTCTCAGGGAGATTGGCTTGCCAAGCTAGGTAACCGATCACCAATAACAAAAACATCAAACATCTTTTTTTGGGGGAAGAGTGTAACACTTGAAGCCAAGCATCTACTAGCCAATATCTTTAACCTACCTTCAGATCTCCTCTTCCTGAATAGTCTAACTTGATCTGAAAGGTCACTTAGGCTTGGTGAATGAAAGACCCCTATAAAGTCCACCAAACCAGAAACAAGAAGGAAGGACAGGGAAAGCAGGCTTCACTCAAACCATCTCTCCTTAAGTTTCTCCCCTGTCTCCTCCACCCTGGGGAACATTTTCCTTTCTATAGCAAATCCAGTTGAGTGAAGAGAGGTTAGCTTGGATAGAGAACAGATAGGATGCCTGTTTTTTATTTTCTCACATGCCAATGCTCTGGTGTGACACTCCCTGCACTCACTATGTCCCTGTGCATGTGCTCTCCAGGAGGGCAAGGACATTTTATTGAAAGGTGTCTGCTCATGGTTGCATTGTTGTCACATGTAGTGACCTTCATAAATAGCTTTGGGAAAGTCATTTGGGAAATGGAATAACAGCTGTTGATGTGTTTGGTTTTTTTCTCTTCCTTTATTGGATTGTATTCTGATTTGCTGTACAAAGTTTTGCGATTGCCTGGAAATGTCCTCATATGCTTCCTAAATTCAAACAAGCAGGTCAACGACCCAGTGTTGTAATGTACCAGCCTGAAATCTGCTTGGATAATCCAGCAGAGCCATTTGTCCTTTATAAGAGGGCAAATAGTGGAGGGCTGCAGGAAGCCAAGCAGAACCCTAAAGTGCTAATGCAGAGAGGAGAGACAGAAGAGATAAGAGGCTGAAGAGAGTTAACATCAGCCTCCAAGTTAGCTTCCAATTCTTGGAGAAACTCTTAGAGGGAGACTGATAAATCATGAAGTTAATTGCTATCCTTTTCCTTTGTTCCACGCTGCTAACAAGTTTAGCCCAAGGGGACCAACAGCAAGAATTTGTCTGCAATGATGAGGATTTACTTAAGGCTGTGGATGCAGCTCTGACGAAATACAATGATGGAAGCAAAAGTGACAACCAGTTTGTATTGTACCGCATAACTGAAGGCAATAAGACGGTGAGTGAGTAGTGTTTAACCTTGATGTCATTTGGGATTTGTGCTATCACTTGAACCCAGGACACACACACACACACACACACACACACACACACACACACTCCACCCCACACCAAAGAAATAAAATCCCAATATTTAAAGGTAGAGGCTTACAACTTTTAGAATAGACCAACCACATAATCTGGGCTGGGACCTGGGCAGGGTATAACTAGTCCTCAAGCTTCCAAGGTTGGCCTCCTAGGTGATCAGAGGACAGGTATCCTAAGCTGAAATTAAAGAAAGGTAGATGGCGTCATTTGAAAGGGACTATGTAGAGTGGGAAAATTCAGAAACTCAGGCCACAGCAAGAGTATTTGCTTTGTGACTGGCCTTAAATGGAAATATAAAGACATCCAGACCTCAATGGAAGGAGGTGCTTAAGGGGATTTGCTTAACACATACTGTATAATATCACATATAAATGGAATCTAAAAAAGTCAAACTTAACAGAAACAGAAAGTAGAATGGTTATTGTCAGGGACTATGGGATGGGAGGAATGGGGAGGTGTTTGTCAAGGGTACAAACTTTCAGTTATAAAATGAACCTGGTTGCTTAGCTCAAGGGTTGAGCATCAACCTATGAATCAGGAGGTGGTGGTTCAATTCCCAGTCAGGGCTCATACCCAGGCTGCAGGCTTGATACCTAGTGTGGGGTGTGGATGAGGCAGCCAATCAGTGACTCTCTCTCATCATTGATATTTCTATCTTTCTCTCCTTTTCCCTTCCTCTTTGAAATCAATCAAAACACATTTAAAAAAATAAATTGAATAGGTCTTGGGGGTCTAATGTACAGCATGGTGAATAGAATTAATACTACTACATTGTATACTTGAAATTACTAAAGGGCTAGATTTTAAGAATTCTAACCACACACACAAAACAGGTAATTCTGTGAGGTGACAATGAGTTAATTAGCTTATTTGTGGTAATCATTTCACAGTGTATAAATATATCAAATCATCTTTTTGTATATCTTAAATATATGTCATTTATTTATACCTCAATAAATATATCTCAAATTGCTATGGTAAACAAGGTAATATATTTCTACTATATTGGATAAAATATCTACCATGAAGTCTTGATGGCTAAATGCATCAAGTGTAACCGCAATGTTCTGATTGTTTTTTTGTTTGTTTTTTAAAGATTCTTTTTTCATTTTTTATTGTTTAAAGTATTACAAATACTCCTTTTTTCCCACTTGAACTCCCCTAGCCTCTTCTACATATGGCTTAAAAACCCCCACCCCCCCCCACACACAGTGTCTTGTATCCGTTGGTTATGTTTATATGCTTGCATACAAGTCCTTCGGTTGATCTCTTACAGCTCCCTTTTCCCCCAGTCTCCCTTCTCTTCTCACTATAGTTTTACAGTCTGCTCAATGGTTCTTTACTTCTATATCTATTTTCCCCATTTCTTTTCTTTTAAAAAAAATCTTGCAACTACAGACTAGAAATAAATATATAATAACAAAAAATGTTTGAGTCCCAATTTCATTGGCCAACAGTTCTGAGACCAGTTTCAATTTCAAATAGTTCCTCATGTGTTCATGTCAGCAATGATATCTGGATGATGGACAGATGGTGGCAATGCAGGTCTGACCCTCTCTGGTTTGGTCCTGGGCAACCTGCATTGACACACAGCTGCTGACTGCTAGTGTGGCAAGGCATTGTCAGTGTCTTCTATCTCAAAACTGTTTCTCCTCTTGTCTTTGTGGTTGGAGCAGACCAGACAACTCCTCTCTGTTGCAGGAATCCCCATGGTCTTAGAGTAGTTTTCTGAAAATATATAAATATATACTCGACCAAAAGTTAATAAAGGAATCTTTTCTATAAAATTGACTTGGAATCCTTTTTTATTTTTGCCCAAACAATTTTCCTTTGGCCTATTTTGACACCATATGTGATTTTCATGGGTGTCTTGCTGTTAGCAATACAAATAAAAATCAATTTTCTACAGTAAAAGTTTTCTAGATGTAATTTACTTACAGGATATTTTTCCTTATATGATATTACCCTACTATTCCTCCTCCTTTTTTTATTATTAATGGATGCTTTTGTAAATTTTGTAATGCAGTCTTGATAACTTTAAATTTCTTTTTTGCACAAAAATAAGACTGCTTTAGGTTTGTTTCACGTTAAGCAATTTTACCATGAGAGGCACTACCAATAGAAATTTTAGTTAATACATTAGGAACAGCTTTTTACCCAGTACACTTAAATTTTCTTGGATGTTCACTTATTTCTATTAGCCAATTTAAATTAACCTAAAAACTTGATTACTATTTTAATGTCAAATCTAATACTCTAACAACAATCTTATTTCACCCTGTAAATATTAGTGGAAAGGATAATTTGCATTCTTGAGTAGGCCCTGAGCAGTCCTGGTGCTAGGCTGGATTTAGATATAGGGCAGCTGCTGTCATTTAAGTCTCTGTCTGTTACCTGGGTCTCAATCTGAGCTGGGTCAAATCTCTATCTGTTACCTGGGTACCAATCTGAGCTGGGCATGGGAAGTGAAGCATCCATGGGGGCAGGAGACCTCCCTCAGAAGGGGTGAGGGTTCATGTCTCTGCAAGGTTGGGGGGATAAGGGTCTGTGCTCTACCTTTGTTGATCTCCATTTTCTCTCCTGATGGCCCCTCTGTGATTGTGCCTGTCTTAGGTTGTTCCTTACCTGAGGAATCTTACCCATCTGGCTAACCAGCCATCCTCCAGGGCCAAGTATGGAGATTTGAGGTTCAGTTCTGTCTCCTTGGTAGCCTATGCCCCTGTGGCCTCCTTGCTCAGCTCCTGTCTTGGGATCCCCTCACCTTCTGACAGGCCCCTGCACTGATCACATATCTTGGAGGACTCACGTTTCTTCTCCAGGGAGGGCCCAGCTCACACCATCGGGCGAGAGACAGATCCATGGTACCAGCCACCATGAGGTTTCATCCTCACAATGAACAGAACATTCAGGCAACAGCTGTGGGCAATTGGATTGTAAAAGGAGGGCAATATAGAATGCTTAAGTGCCTTCCTAGTGTCTAAATTCCTTCTGAAAGGGATTAAATCCTTTCATGTCCTTTTTTAAATTGCTCCCAAACATTCAGAGAATTAGTTTGTAAGTTTTTTTGGGATAATCGTACAATATGCTGTTGTAAAATATCAAAAATTATAATGACATTATAGGATAATATCATGTAAGGATATTCTTTGCTTTAGGCCCTGGCAATTCAATTTCAAACTGGCTGTCAATTTCTTCTTGTAACTTTATATAAACTTTGTCAGGGAGGCAAACATACAAATTATTTACTTTAGTTCAAGAGGCCAAATGTATTGACTTTCAATTACAATCCTTATGACTTTTGAAGGAAATCTCTCTTTATTTTCTTCCATGATAACTACAGAGAGTTTCATTTAAAAATCTTTGTCAGATGAAACAATTTCTCTTAAAGTTATGTTTACAAATTGTATAGATTAGATTTAATATTTTTTCTTATAAATTGTTTATTAACTTTTAGTTTTTTTTATTATTTTATTTTATTTTTTTACATATATGTCCCTATTACCCCATTAACCCACAACCCGCACTCATGCCCCACCCCCCTGTTGTCTGTGTCCATTGATTAGGCTCATATGCATGCACATAGTCCCTCCGTTGGTCTCTCCCCCTTACTCCCACCAACCCTCACCTTCCCTGAGGTTTGATGTTCTGATTGATGTTTCTCTTTCTCTGGATCTATTTTTGTTCATCAGTTTATATTGTTCTTTATATTCTACCAATGAGTGAGACCATGTGATGTTTATCTTTCTCTGCCTGGCTAATTTCACTTAGCATAATGCTCTCCAATTCCATCCATGTTGTTGCAAATGATAAGAACTCCTTCTTTACTGCAGTGTAGTATTCCATTGTGTAGATGTACCGTAGTTTTTTAATCCACTCATCTGTTGATGGGCACTTAGGCTGTTCCAGATATTAGCTATGGTGAATTGTGCTGCAATGAACATAGGGGTGCATATATCCTTTCTGATTCCTGTTTCTAGTTTCTTGGGATATATTTCTAGAAGTCAGATCACTGGGTCAAATGGGAGTTCAATTTTTAGTTTTTTGAGGAAACTCCATACTGTTCACACAGTGGCTACACAAGTCTGCATTCCCACCAGCAGTGCACGAGGGTTCCTTTTTCTCTGCATCCTCCCCAGCACTTGTCATTTGTTGATTTGTTGATGATAGCCATTCTGACAGGTGTGAGATGGTACCTCATTGTCGTTTGCTCTGAAGATGTCAATTAGGTCCATTTGATCTAGTTTGTCATTTAGAATTGCTGTTTCTCTGTTTCTTTGCTGATTTTTTGTCTAGCGGATTTTTCTAGTGATGTCAGTGGTGTATTAAAGTCTCCTACTTTGTATTGTTGTCAATCTCTTCCTTGACATCTTCCAGGTTTTTTTTGTTTTGTTTTGTTTTGTGTGTGTTTTTTTTAGTTCTCCTGCATTGGGTGTATATATGTTTACCAGAGTTATTTCTTCTTGTTGAATTGCTCCCTTTAGTATTATTTAGTGGCCTTCCCTATCCCTTGTTATGGCCTTTACTTTGAGGTCTGTTTTATCAGATATAAATATCACAACCCCAGCTTTTTTCTCATTTCCATTTGCCTGAAAAATGTTTTTCCATCCCTTCACTCTCAGTCTGTATGAATCCTTTGTTCTGAGGTGGGTCTCTTTGAGACAGCAAATATATGTGTCATGTTTTCTTATCCATTCAGCTACCCTATGTCTTTTGATTGGTTCATTTAATCCATTTACATTTAATGTTATTATTGACATGTACATGTTTGTTGAAATATTTTTCCTTATTATTTGTGTTTCTTTTTAAATTTCTCTTTCTTCTTTTTACAGCAGTCCCTTTAGCATTTCTTGCATTGCTAGCTTGGTAGTGATAAACTCTCATAGCCCTATTTTTTTTATTTTTTTAAAATAT